TAGCCCTCTTAGGGTGAGAGGCAGAGTACACCCTGGACAGGTTGCCAGTCTGTCCCAGGGCTTGATTGTGTATGTGACAAATGCAATTTCAATGTGAATTTGATTTGAGGTGTAGCAGCTTTACTATGAGCTCCTCTCAAATAGCTGAACTCCTGGCCTCTGCGTGTTGCCTCTGCCTAACTAAGGGAGAGACTAGCCGCCCTTCAGTGAAAGCTAATTTCTGCTGCTTGTATCAATGATCTCAACTACCCAAGCTCACGATCCTACGTGAGGGTGGTTTGATTGACTCATAAACTGACAGCTTTGCTTTTACATTTAGCTCTCTCACTACAGAAGGTTGCAGCATCTGCATCACTGCAGCCATCACTGCAGCCCCAGTCTGCCTGTCAATCTCCTACTCCCTTCACTCATGAACATGATCCGAGATACTTAAACTCCTCCAGCAACTTATCTGTGTGTGCACTCCAGGCTGAGGGCTGAGGGGCATGGCCTTCAGACCTGGAGGTGCTAATTCTCACACTTGGCCACTCACTGGTGTGAGCTGGAGGCCACCACCTGATGACACCAACAACATCATCTGCAAAAGCAGAGATGATTATGAAGCCACCAACACTTGGTTATGCATAGAAAGTATGTCCAGAAAGATTATGAACAAAACTGGTGGCAAAGTTCTTCCAAAGAAAGGAACTTTCCACATGTGAGGGGACGTGTTCAGAAGAAGCTGGCTCTACCTTTTTTATTTAATTTTTTATAGCTTTTATTTTAATTCAAGTTTTCTAATATTAGTTTAGTTTGTCTAAAAGTAGGTTTTCTTTACAGGTATTTTGTTTTGAATTAAATTCATGAAATCCGCCTGACGACGCCTGCCTGTTCTGACGTCACTCCACTTCCTGTCTCCACCCATTTGCAGCCATGATGGTAGGTTTCTCTGTCTCTTCTGTTTTTCTTGTGTTGTCTGCTCGGTGAGCTCGAGAGGCTCCACCGGCTGTTGTGTTGTATTTGCGTTTGTGTTACGGTCGGTGTGCAACTAAACAAACAACCCTGTGCTCTTTGTCTTCGTAGCAGGAAGGGTTGGACGACGGACCCGACTTCCTCTCCGAGGAGGACCGGGGAGTGAGTGCTGTCCGTCTGCCTGTCTGTTTGTTCACCTTGTGTCTTTTCACCTGTCCGCCTGTGTGTTGGAGTTTGACGCTCTTCTGTGTTTCATTCAGCTAAATCAGCTGGGTAGCATTAGCGCGCTCATTTTTCTAGAGAAGTTAGCTGTCCAGGCTAACTTTAGCTTATTGCTAATGGGCAGTTAGCCTGTCAGCTGTGGTCAGGCTGGTTCTCCAAGCCGCGAGTACAGATGATGACCCGGCTGCAGTCTTTGGGCTTAACCGAGAGCTAACGAGGCTAACGGTTATAGTGAAAGTTTAAATGGCAGCTAACGAACCGCTGACTTAGTGAAGTTCATGTTGATGGTTCGTGCTGCTAGCGCTGTTTTACCATCAGCTGTCACATGACTGAAACGCATACATACACGCTGCTCCGATTCTAATTGGACGATCTCTGTTATTCTCCACGAAGCTCGACGAGGACAATTCAGTCCAAAATTCCAGGATGTTGGATAAAGGTGTCCATGTTTCTGTAATTATAAGAAACATGGCTTCCATCATCACAGGGAGCAGCAATCTAAAATCCAAACAGATGGAAACAAAACCCCAAAGTCAACCTTAGATATAGTTTCCTCAGTGCTCTTGACCTCACTTGGTAGCCGAGCACTTTGCTTGTGGTTCAGGTACAAACGTCCGGTTGATCTACCACTGCTGTTCCCCGAATCTAAAGATTATCTTGTAAATAATTTAGGTGCTTTGTATTCCACCTTTTCTTTCATCCTGACGTGTGTGCAGAGCTGAAAGTACCCAGATGTCCAAAATACACATCCAGAGGTTTGTTGTTGCTGCTTGTTGAGTAAAGAACTGTGGATGTTTTATGGTAATATCATTTAGTAAAGCTGGAAAATTATTTTTAAAGGTTGATTTACTCTGAAGCACATGTATACAGTTACATACACGAAATGATATTATACAAGTCTTTTACAGAAGTGTCTGATTCATGTATCAGTCACAGCTTATAGATTTATTCCTAACAACATGGTGTGCATGCCATGTTTTAAAGGCTTTTCAGTATGTTGTGCTTTATGGACTTTAGAAAGAGGAAATTCAGGATCCCCTCGGAAAGATGGGACAAAGTAAAATGAGTCTTGAACCTGGCCTCAGTCAACACAAGATTTCTGTTGTACAGGAACAAACAAATGACAAACAAAAAGCAAAGTTGTGAATTTACTCCCATCTGAGCACCTTCAGTATATTTATAATGTAGCTGTTCTGTGAGGGCAGTAAGGTTCACACAGTCAGGAGATCCAAGTGTCTCAGACCTACGTTCTGGTTTGTGGAGAAGAAATAGAACAGAGATGTATTATTAAGACACTGGTGTTATAGCTGGACTTGTAGCTTCTGGATGAACTGATAAAGCTGTCAGAAAGGTGTGTGCTGTAGTTGTTGTAGCTCGAGTGTGTGATACTTGTCACTGTCTAATTATGTCATTCATTTATTGTCAGTCCAATAGTACAGATCGGATGGATGTGCAGTACTGCAGAGTCCAGTTCCAGTGTTCTTTAATGCAGTGTCCCAGGACGTTTGTTGGACTGGGATGGTGACACAGCTGTATTTTTTGTTCCTTCTCCATATGAGGCCTCTTTTTCACGCTGCATAGTTGTTCAGTTTCTTTACTTTAAACTGGGCCTCGATGCAGCGCCTCCGTTCATTGGTTTTAGCTCTTGCCCCTTTTGGGTGAGACTACTTGTCAAACATCTGGAGGGTAGATCCTCTCTGCTCCAGCTGTGTGCTGACACCATGCATGCAAAGTCATCAGTAGAACAAAGTTTGTGAAACAGAGCAGTCACGTTATTTTTTCTCCTTCTTGATTATTTTTTACTTAAATTGACGTCATTATGTGAAAGTTTGGTGATGTTTAACATGAACGTTGGGCCTGGGGTAGTGCTCTGTATTTAGTTCTGCATTTTCAGCTGATGTGGAGAACAGTGCTGAGCTCCAGTACAGCCTCTGTAGAGCTTTCAGATTCTTTTTTAGAAATCTAGTACTGATTAAAGTAATCTCCCTAACGTGAGTAATCCTGAAAGTACCTGTTAAGTTCTGTACTGTGACACAGTAGGATGTAGGTGAAGAGTACGCTGTAACTGACAGCTGGCTTTCGTTGTGTGTCTGTACTGCTCACTGCGCTGTTGGACACGCCCTCTCTGTCCTCCTGCAGCCACGTGCCGTCAACGTGGACCTTCAAACAGACGCCATGCTGCAGGTCGACATCTCCGATGCCCTGAGTGAGAGAGACAAGGTCAAATTTACCGTTCACACCAAGGTGAGACTGACTGATGTCAGGTACACTGACAGACCTGAACTTCAGTAACACGTAACAGACGGGCTCCTGCACGCTGCTGATCTACTTCCTTTTTGCACAGAGCACGCTTCCCAACTTTAAGCAGAACGAGTTCTCGGTGGTCCGACAGCATGAAGAGTTCATCTGGCTGCACGACTCCTTTGTGGAAAATGAAGAATACGCAGGATACATCGTAAGAGCAGCACAGAGGACTTCACCTCACCCAGAGTCACGAGTCTAAGACTTAGAATAACGTTGAGCTAAGTCGTCACTTTAAATAAGCCGACGTTTTATCCTGTCTCATTAATGAGATGTAGAAAGACAGCTTTAGTCTTGAGCCATTACACACACACTCACACACACTCTCTCTCTCTATTTTGGGGGGGTTCTTGTGTTTTGGGGTTTTTATGGTCAAGCCACTTGACCTTAACCTCTGTTGATCATTCAAGTATAAAAAGGCACCACAATTACACAAAAACACACACACTGAAACACACACATAGGCTGGCACTTCCAGAGGCTGGACTTTCAAATTAAGATAAGAGAAGATAAGATCACCTTTATTAGTCCCACATGTGGGAAATTTGTTTTGTTACAGTAGCAAAATTAAGAAAAGAAAATACTGTAGTAGGATTAGATAATAAGAATATGAATAAGATACTGTACACAACAGAATAAAATACAATATTGTCAGAAAAGGAGAATCGCTGAGTGTTGCTGTAATTATTGGAGCAGCATCTCGACAGACAGCGAAACAGAAACATCAGAAAAGAACAGGAATGCCCTTCAAGCTGCCCAGAGAGCTTTTCCTGACGGCTACTTAAAGGAAGGAATGTTTGCCTGAGACGTTCCCGGCTGTGGTGAATAAAGGTCGTCATACCAAGCTCGGTGAATTTCACAGGCTGTTTTTTTTTTCTTATTTATTATATTTTAATTTCTGTTTCCACGTGTTCGACTCGCTCTGCTTGCTCCCCATATTTCTATCAGAATATAAATAAATGAGGCTCAAGTTTGAAAAGAACAAGTAAACAGACACAGGCAAGACGCACAATTGTTCTTACCAATAAAGGTTTCTATTTGTAGGACGTTAGTAAGAGGGTTCCTGGTCTTAACCTGCCAAATTCTGTTACATTTAGTTATCTGACAGTGAACGATTTAACAGCTGCCTGTACAAGTATCTGATGGACCAGCTTACATCACCACTAGCAAAAGAGCAGACAGGCGTTTGCAACCGAGTCATCAAAGCTGCATCAGAGGCCAGACAGAGTGTGAGCTGGCTTCAGTGCAGAGCCGTATGCATCTGGTTGTTTCCAAGTGTTGTTGTTGCAGATCCCCCCAGCACCTCCAAGACCAGACTTCGATGCATCCAGAGAGAAGCTGCAGAAGCTGGGCGAGGGCGAGGGATCCATGACTAAAGAGGAGTTCACAAAGATGAAGCAGGAGCTCGAGGCGTGAGTGAGCACAGACAGCAGCTGTTGTCCCCGTAGTTGTTTGACGTGCTGGATTTGTCACCACATCGCCTGTTTTGTGTTGTTGCACAGAGAGTACCTTGCCATCTTTAAGAAAACCGTAGCCATGCATGAGGTCTTCTTATGTCGTGTGGCGGCTCATCCTGTGCTCAGGAAAGACCTCAACTTCCATGTCTTCCTGGAGTATAACCAGGATGTAAGTATCACACCGGATTCATTTCATTTTTAGGATTTATGAGCAGCTCGAGAGCCAGTCGTCAGTCAGCACGGGACCTCGTGGTGCTCCGAGGAATAACAAACAGGTCGACGTGGTGTTTTATACCTGCTAACTGTCTGTGTTGTTCATATTTCTTCTTTTTTTCATGTCTTGTTGCCAAAAGCTGAGTGTACGAGGGAAGAACAAGAAGGAAAAACTGGAAGATTTCTTTAAAAATGTGGTGAAGTCGGCAGATGGCGTCTTGGTGGCTGGAGTCAAGGTGACGACCCAGGAACTCGTTTCCACCTTGATCCAAATGTTGTTTCCGTGTTTTCTCTTTATTGATCGTTGCTGTTTTTGCGCCTACAGGATGTGGATGATTTCTTTGAGCACGAGAAGACGTTTCTGTTGGAATATCACAACAGAGTCAAGGATGCTTCAGCCAAGTCTGACAGAATGATCCGATCACACAAAAGTAAGAATCTGTTTGTCTGTGCAGAGCTGAAAGGTCAGCTTCAGGTTCAGGGCTCGTTTTAGAGTCTCGAGTAATTCACTGAACAGAGGCTTGGAGTTTTATATAAAGGAAAACTGTGACACTGATGTCTACGTATTTGTGTGTTTTCTGTTTAGATGCTGCTGATGACATCAACAGAATTGCCTCATCTCTCTACACATTAGGAACACAGGACTCCACAGACCTCTGCAAGTATGAACAAATGTTGTCTTTGAACTTTAGCTGGAGCTGCCTTCGTGTGATGAACATTTCCTTTTGAGAATCTGGGTTTTTGCTAACACTTGTATTTGGTCCTGAGCAGAGCCAGGCTGTAAACATACCTGCATCACGTCTGTCTTGTTATTTTGTTCCCTTTTTCTTCCTGAAGGTTCTTCCTCAAAGTGTCAGAGTTGTTTGAGAAAACTCGGGTATGTCTGATCAAATTTGGAGTTTGTCTTGTTATCTTATTATCCAGTAACTCTAATGTTGGGACCATGTTTGGGGGTTTTTTAAACAGAAAATTGAAGCTCGCATTGCAGCCGATGAAGACCTGAAGCTGGCCGACCTGCTGAAATATTATTTGAGGGAGTCGCAGGCTGCAAAGGTCTGATTGACAGTTGAAGTCACCAGTTAAAAAACTCTTTGTTAAATGTCGCAGTTGATGTGATGATGTCTCCCCTCGCAGGATCTGTTGTACCGGAGGAGTCGGGCTTTGGTCGACTATGAGAACGCTAACAAGGCTCTAGATAAGGCTCGAGCCAAAAACAGAGATGTTCTGCAGGCTGAGACCAGTCAGCAGCTTTGCTGCCACAAGTTTGAGAAAATCTCAGAGTCTGCCAAGCAAGGTCATTTTTTGTTCTTCCTCTGTCAGCGTATAGGTGAAGGAGTGTTGGATGTGTGTGCGGTCTGCTTTCACAGTGCGTTCTTCTCCAAACACAGAGCTCATAGACTTTAAGACAAGGCGAGTGGCAGCCTTCAGGAAGAACCTGGTGGAGCTGGCCGAGCTTGAGCTCAAACACGCCAAGGTACTGAGTACACAGAGAAAGCAGCCATTAAAAGAGCATTTCAGCTGTTCAGGGAAGTCTTCTTCTGCATTTCTGTTCAGGACTGTCTGATCTCATTATGTCAGGTGGCTGTAGCTTAGATGAGCAGGCTGCCTTCTTAACTGAAAGCTTGGCTGGCCTCTCCAGTCTACATCCTTGTAGCTTTAAGCCCTTTATAAGAACCAGTCCATTTACCTATGACCGTGTCTCACCTGCAGGGGAACCTCCAGCTGCTGCAGGGCTGTCTGGGCATCCTGAAAGGAAACACTTAACTGTTTGATACTGCATACATCCAGCTGGATGCCCCCTGGCTTCTGTCCCGCCCATTTCCAGCTGGACAATCCCGTCACATGGGTGAAACCTGCAAGGACAGAAAACCGACGCCAAGATAACTGGACCTGGAGACAAATAGAAAGAGTCTGAAATAAAAAAAAAAGAAAGCCGGTGGCAACAACAACAAAAAAAAAAGCCTTTTTTTGTTTAATGCCCTGAGTCCTGTTCATCATCTTCCTCTTTCTCGAGCAGCATAAGTATTGGTCCTACTGTTCTTTTGCCTGATTTGCAGCGCCTGTTCTGGCCCTACTGAGCCACCATAACCAGCAGAGTAAGGCTGGTCCCTCAGAGGTCCTAATAAATTAAATGTTTCTGTCTGATTCTGGTATAACTGGATATGATTGGACATTCTGTACTTTTTGTAAATTTGTGAAGTTAAATAAACCAGATTCAGTCTAAAATTGTCACCTTTTCAAAACGTAAATAAAGATTTTAGGTCAAAACAGAAACAAGTGAAGGTCACTCGTAGGAGGGGATCCTGAGCCGGTCTGCTGCATCTGTACTCACGGGTCCAAGTTTGTCTCTGCTGGTGACCAACCTCCATCTCAAGGCCGCTTCTGTCTTTTTTGAGTCTTATTTAGTGCACAGCAGCATAACTTTAGCTCAACAAGCTTACTGCTTTAACCAGAGAAGGAGAAATGAGACAGTTGCTGATTGCATCGAACTGTATTCCTGTTGGCTTCTATTGTGATGCACTGCACTCATTAGTGTGGGGTTTGTTTGCTCTAAAAAACCCTCGTCCTCAGTCGAGTGTCTGGTTAGTAGCTGTTCATTGAACTTCTATCAGTGTTTTAAAGAACCTGGAAACAAGATTCATGTTTCGACTTTGTTTGAAAGTTTAAAGACTCAAAAACAGACAAAAGTGTGCGCTCTGTTTTATTTTTGTGCCACACATGGCCTCACCTGTTGTTTTGCTGTTTTTTTCTGCCTCTTCGGTTCTGTTTATTTTGGTGGCGCTTGTGTGTCCAGGGGGGATTTTAATGTGTATCGACTTCCTGTGGCGCTGCTACTGCTGTGTGACGGCGTTTTGAGTCCAGTTCTCTGTTCCTGTTAAAGTGTAAATTCACTATAGAGAAAAAAAAAACACAAACTTGTACATGTTTGTATTAGTTGACTAATGAACGCTAACGATCTTCATCACTCATTGTAGATTCTTTGTTCACTTATCAGACGTTTGTCACTCTAATCGAAAGCGGAGCTTCTGTTTGCCTTAACGCTGATCGTGGCTCCTCGTGGGTCATTGAAAAGAAAGAGTTAAGTCACCAAATGAAAACAGTTTCTGTTCTTATCCCTATTTTTTAATGAACTGTATACGAATGTTTTTCAATCTTGTGTGACCAAAGCTGCTTCTGCTGATTCAAGATGGAAACAGAAAAATAATAAAAGGTGATTATGAAATTCACAACATTTTAGTTGTTTAAACTTCAGCAGGTCTGTAATCCACCCTGATCGTACTGAGACTCAATAAAACTTTACAGTTTTCTTACAAATAATCTCTGAACAATTTGTTTTTATTGGTTCAATTCAATTCAATTTTATTTA